TTTTTTTTTTTTTTTTTTTATTTTTTTTTTTTTTTTTTTTTTTTGTGAAAGCCCAGTCCAACCCAAACAGCCCAGCCCTTTCTGGGCTTAACTTTAGTTATTTTATTGTACAAATAATCTCTTATTTAATATATTATAAATCCAATTCACTTCATTTATTTTAGATGTTAACATGGTTTAATTAATATATTTTTTTAATTCAATAACTTATTTTCTATAAAAAAAAAAAATTATTATTTTTAATTCAATAACCTCTTTTTCATAAAAATTCAAAATTTTAAGCTTTTACGTAAATTAATGGTCGAAAAAAATCTTAATTCTACAACATTTTAAAATAATTTAAAAGGCTAAATTTAAATTAGAAATTTATCCAATAAAAAAAAAATTAAAAATTAATTATTTTTCTATTAAAATAAGGTTGCAAATGCAAATATGATAAGGATTATTAGATACCAAAATTTATTTAAAATATTTTATAAACGGACATAACAAAAATTTTGAAAATTTAAAATTAGTTTTATTTTTTAAATAAAATTAAAATATACATTTACTTTTACTACTCTTTTAAAAATAACATTGAAAAATTTAAAAATAATATATAAAATAATTAATAATTTTTTTGAAACTTGTGGTTTATAAAAATAAAAAATATTTAATTAATTTTGTATATATAAGTATTTTAAGATATTTATTTAGATAGTGAGTAGACAATTAAATAAAAGAAAATAAAGGATATTTAGTTTTTTTGGAGTAATGAAAAAATCCAAAAGATGTGGAGAGGAGAGATAGGGAGAGGAGAAGATAAATGTTGAGAGCATTTGTGTCCCTTGCAATGGAAGTTTTGTTCTTCTCATTTCAATTTCTTCTATAAATTCCTGATTTTATCCGCTTTCCGCCTCTGATTCATTCCTTTCAATCCCCACCTCCTCCACTTTCCTCCCCTCATTTCTTCTTTTTACTTCCCCCTTCCGATGACTCATTCAACTTCGTGTTTCACTTGGGGTTGTTCTCTTCTTTCCTTCTTGATTGATTTTTCCTTGTGCGATGTGGGGATTCCTTAATTTTGTGGGTTCTGTCGATTCAATTTTTGTTGTGGAATTATGAATGAATGCGATATCTTTGTCTCTTCGCTTCTGAATCATGTTGTTTGGCTTCTCGATTGCCCCAATGCCTTGATTTTGTTTTCTGAGTTGTTAATTTTGTTTGTGCTGGACATGGTTCACCTTTCTGCTTGTTTGTCATGCAATTTCCTAGCAACTTCAAACATTGAACTCTCATGTTCTTTTCTGTTAAGTGCAAGATGCCCTGGGTGGAGTTTTTATCTGGTTTCTTGTGTTTGATATTCAGGCTCTTAAAGTTTGAACACTCAAGATGAGTATTAAACTCATAGATGGTACTATCAGTTACCAATCAATTTTTGGCTGCTTTTTTTTCTCCTCAGGTCCTACTCTATATAGTTCACCAGAAATCCAGTGAAGCCTTTGTAGTTATTTATGGAACTTCTTGGTATTGGAGCAAATATGCAGGGTTCGAGCAACGATCCAAACTTTTATTTCAGTTGGGATCGTAAAGGAGTTGTTGGTAGCTGTGTATGGCCACAAATCAGTGAGGATAAAATGGTGAACGGTCGACATAGCTCCAATGGTTTCTTATCACCATTGTCAGCAGGTCTGTATGTCGATTGTGGCCGAGAAGCGTTAAAGCAGATAATGATTAAGCAAGAATTGGTTTTTAGGGATCAGGTATGTCCTTGGTATGCATATATATATATATATATATGTTTTTTGGCTCTGAATCATTATGGAACTATGTGTTACAATATCTTTGCAATGGTTTGCTTTGTTAAAAATCCGATACTTTTAATATTCGTAGTTTTAAGCTTTGAAAATCATCTGAAATATGAATCAACTGTCCAGCTTTTCGAACTTCATCGCCTTTATAGAAGACAGATGGAGTTTATAGCTGAGATGAAGAGGGAATCATGTAAGCATGATGTTCGCGTTATGACAGCTCGGGTCTCTGCGTTGTGTGCTCAAGATGCACATAACTTCCATGTGTATAATCAATCATCTATTTTTGGTGAAAAAAAGACGTCGTTACTTTCATGTCTAGGGAAGAACTTTCAAACAGATTCTTACTCCGTTCTGAATGGAAGTTGTTCAACGAATTCTTACGTTTCAGAATCTAAGAGAAAGATTTTGGGAAAAGTGATGTTTAATCTTGAACTTCCAACTGACAGCAAACACTCGAACGTAAGAGATGAATTGACCGAAAGGCCTGAAATGTCGAGCTGTGATCTGAAGAGAATACCTGAGATTGTTCATATTAGTGATAGAACACCTTTTCTTGCCAAGTATGATTTGAATGCCTCATTATTAGAGAAAACTAAGGTCTCGGTTGATTTAAACGATCCTCCAAACTTTGAGGAAGAACCGGGTTTTGGATACGTCGATTTAAACGAGGCTAGTGGCCACAGGGAGATCCTTTTCCATGAGCTCTATGGCAAAGCCAATTCAAACTTTCTTGTTTACTCGGAGCAAGACAAAGATATTGCAAGTTCAAGTCTGTCATCATCCACTACATCTTTGACAAAATCTGTACAAGATCCTATAGGACACCATATCTTGGATGCTGAGAGTTCCAAAATGTTGATAGAAAACACTATGCTTGCTGAAGACGATCGCTCTAGCGTTAAGAACTTGATATCTAGAATTGGGTCTGATAGTGTAAGCCCTCTTGAGATAAGCTTTGGTAATGGCACCAAGTCCAAGAGCGTAAAAGGAGAATCTCGTCGCTCATTCGAGGCTGCTGCAAATTGGATCAAAGGTCGAATCGACCTCAATGTGTGCTTAAATGAAGAATGTTTGGCAACACCTTGTTGCTCCACTGAAATGAAACATTCAATTACAGGAGAGTTTGATGACCAAGTTGGATCAAATTTTCTAAACTCCATTCGAAATGATGACGAACCATTGGAGGATCTCGTCGCGATTGCAGCAGAACGTTTGATATCTATTTCATCATTGGCGGCTCAAAATTGTCAGAAAACCATCAGCTGTCGGTATGTTCCAGCTTCATGTGAATCTTTGTCCTGGTTTGCTGAAATAGCCTTGAAAAGTAAGGATGCTAATGACTCAAAGGAGCTTTCACCAAATTCCATGGATGACTTTGAGATCATGACATTGAAGTTGAAAGAAACAAAAGTGGAAGAGTGTTCTTTGATAGTAAGTAACCACGACGAGGCAACGGTAAAACATGTTTCTTCGCCTTCATGTCAACTCGGGAAGAGCCGTGTGAGGCGGAGTCCGTGCAAGAATTTTCAGACAGAAATTCCTCCAAGTCTTGCAACTTTGTCGAGGTACGAGGTTAAAGAAGATATTCAAGCAATAGAAGGTCTGATAGAAGTTGCAAGTTCTCGAGGTAGAACGACACGGACTCGAGGGAAGAGACGGTTATGTAACTCATCTTCAAAACTTACAGAAACTGTCTTAGGGTCAATCATGGATCAAGTAAACAGTAGCAATGAACAAGAGAACAAAAAAAGAAAGGTTCTAGTTTGGGGAAATATTACTCCTCGTCGTCGTCGGGGACAGAGATATCGAGCTTGTAATCGAAATATCGTTGTAGGACAAGTATAGTCATACATTTAATAAATGAAGTTATCTCATTTTTCTTTGTGTTTTGAAGAAATCATACACTATGGAAACTGATCTGAGTCTTTAATTTGGATACTACAATTTGAACAACAAAAATGAAAATAGAATTGATTCTTGAAGCTCTTACATGATAAATAGTTTCTGTTTATTGAGGAAGAACTTGAGCGAAATGAGAACTTTGAAACGCCTCTTGAAGATCCTCATCGTCGTCCCACGAATCACGAAACGTTTCGAGGTCGGTAAAGTAATTTATAAGAGACGATAAGCACAGTTTCTTCCTCCATTCCTCCAAATGCGGATATCCAACATTATCACCGTACTTGTCGCAATACTACAACATAAAGATGCTTTTTTGATCAAAGATTTAAACTATATATAGTTCGTTCGATCAATCGATCGATATCTAATAAAAACGTGGTACCTCGAAATCAGCTAAATCATGGGTATTATGTTTTGGAATGCCAGCAACATCCCTTGAGTGATAAAACTCTTTGATGGATTGCATCATATCATCCCATGATGGCAATGTCCTTTTCCCAGACAGCAGTTGAGCTATCCATATTGCTTGTGATTCAAAGAAAGGGAAGCCTATGAGCTGCAGCACAACAACAATCATATTACTTCACAACCAATTTTTTGCCCTTTTAGAAAGTGCATTCCTACGTCTAAATATCCCATTTTTTAGCTTACCAAACATCATAATTGTTCATAAAAAAAACATAACGATGTCGGAATATTTATGCACGATTTTGATTAATTACGTAGCAAGAAGTCAATGTGACATCGTAAGAAAGCTAACCTTTCTTGGAATGCCAATAAACGAAAGCGAGGGAGCCAAGGATGGGGGAAAGGTATGCTCGTACAACGGACCCACTCGATCATCATCCACAACAACTATTCCTTTGGTGTCAAGAAACGGAAATGAGTATGAATACCTACAAACCGACCCAAAAATATGTTAAAAAATGGGTTTTATGGACATATTAGACACAAACTCAAAAGTTAATGGACTAAACTTGTAATATCGAAAAGAATGATATATATAGTACCCAGTGCAATAAAGAATGGTATCAGCAACGATGGAGGACCCATCAACGAACAGCACCCGACCATCATCTTCAAGAGATTCAATCTGCAAGCAAGCTCAAAAAAACATAAATATGAGTGGCAAAACCGAACTTTTAAGATCAATCAAACCAAAACCAAGACGAACCTGTGGTTGAAGATGCAAGTTTTGATGTTTTTGGATGACTTTGGATAAACCCTCAGTGATGGTATCCATTGATCTTGTGCTTATATGAGTTTCTTTTGCCACTTCCACTAGCTCCAGCGATATGTCCTGCCCACTTTGAGAGCTTCCCACCACCACTACTACCTACAAACACAAAAAACACTGTCATTTCTTACGAAATCGTTATCAAACGAGACTTAATGGTACTCGTAGTTTGATTTACCTCGTCACGAAACGGCTCGGGAACGCGATAAACATGGCTATGAATTTGCTTTCTTTTCCATTTGTCCATGCCTTTAATATTGGGCAATCTTGGATGAGAATAATGTCCATTAGCAAGAACAACAGCATCAAAAACTTGTTCAACTAAGATCTTATCATAATCATCCCCTGTTTTATCTCTGCTTCTGACGACCCATTTAATCTCTTTTCCAACATGATCATGATGATTGTGAACATGAACATCATCATCAGAATAATCCAACATTCCCACATATTCAACTCTGGTATTGAATCTTATGAGCTCTCTCAATCCAAACCAATCACAAAAGTCCTTCAAATACAAGAACAGCTCTTTATGGCCAGGATATCTTCTGGTGTCACGCCCTTTCTTGACAAGAAATGGAAAATCAGAAAACCCCATGATTTCTCTGGGTGAAGCGATCCTTAAAGAGGCATAAACACTGCTATGAACATTAAGGAAATTGGATGCTTTGCCTAAAGGATGTTCGTTTTGGACATGTGGGTCGTAGAGCCATTGGCCACCAATGTCATGGTTTTGCTCAAAGACAACAACTTTGTGGCCTTCTTTTCTTAGCTCTCTGGCTGCCACTAGCCCTGAGGGGCCTGCTCCTATCACACAAACCTTCCTCTCCTTCCATTGGTGAAGCTTTTCAGACACCATGGCTGCTTCTGCAATGGACGCTTCTTTTCTTTTGGGTGTTTTGGGGTTTATGATTGTTGGGGTGTGGAGGGTGGGAGAGATGTTTAGGTTTTATAGTTGAAGTTTGAAGATTGAAAAGTAAAAAGAAGGAAGATTGGGCCTTTTTCGTACCAATTTGAATTAAGACATTAATCTAAATGTTATCCCATCAAATTTTATGTTTTACCGATCATATCAAAGTTAGTTCTGAGATTGCATGTGGATTGGAGAGGAGAATAAAACATTTTTTTTAGAAGGGTATAAAAACCTCCCTGATCGACACGTTTAAAAAACTTTAAAGAAAAGTACAAATAAGACAATATATGCTCCATCGATAAACAATCTAGACTAGAGTAGGAGCGAATCACTTCTGATTTGGCTTATAGTTGTTGTTTTTTTAGCTTATGTAGTGGTTGGTTTTATTACGTGCAAGTGGCCACGAGAATGTGTCCTTAGTTTTATACGAAGTTACGCTAATACAAGCATACTAAAATGTAAAAAGGATGGTCGGTTATATATTTGAAAGAATGGAGACTAAATTATTATAAGAAAAAAAAAAAAGATAGGGGAAGAATTTAAGCAAAAGAAAAGGCAATAATGGATAGAAATGGAGATGGTTTGCTAGGAAGGAGACACACGTGACCCTCCAACAATGATGAACTAGTTTAATTTGGTCTTAGCTACCTACACTACACTTTTCATTGACCCACCCATGGGTCGAGGAGGACGGAAAGCATTTTCTATTTCGGTCTCTATTTCTATCTTAATTTTTATTTTTGTGAAAATTTTCATTTATTTTTGTGAAGACTTCGTGTTCGTAGAAGACCTTTTTTATATATATTTTTAAAACTATTTGTTTAAAAAAAAAATCTATAATATAATAATTTTATATGTTAGACAGAGGTTAGGTCGGAGAGAAATCTTTCTTCATTTCTTTCCTTTTTTTAATATTTAAATAGAGATTCCATGTTCGGTTGATTAAATAAACATTTCTATAATATGGATGGATGATTATCTTCGACTACGTGAATTTAACAAAGAAAACTTTTTTAATTCAATCCATGGACCTTTAAAATAATAATCAAATTCATATTCGAATCTAATAGGTTAAGAACACAAAACGTTCAATGAAATGAAGAACATCGTGGAACACATACATGGATAAAATTAAACATATAAACTCACAACTGTTATCCAATGCCATCATCGCCATCATTTTGGTTTTTTACCGACCAAATCATCTTTTTTAATTTTCTCGTGATGTTAATTATTATTTTAAAAGTCCATAATTTAATTAATCTCTTGGAAGTTTTTTAATTCAGCCTGAAACAAAAAATTGATTTCAAATGCTAGAGAATAGATGGGAAAATATTGATAAATAATTAAAGTTGCTTTTTTTTTTTTTATTAAATTATAAAATTTAACTTAAATTAACATAAAATTCTTAAACTATCTTAATTTATTTTACAAATTTAAAAATCAAAATCTTATTAAAGAAAAAAAAAACTTTATATTTAAAAAAACCACGAGAATAAGTTATCGAACTTAAAAAATGGCAATAAATCATACAAAATTAAAATTTTAATTGCTTAATTAAACATAAAATCAAAAGTTTACGTAAATAATTGAGATTATGTTGTTGATTTTTTATATTTACTAAATTGAATTTTTAAATACTACCGTATGTTTACTTTGAGTTTTTTTAAAAAAGTAATTTTTAAATATTTTCTTAAAAAATATAAATTTAAAGGATAAGACAAATTAAAAATAAATAAATAGTAAGGAAAGTAATATAATTTAAAAAAAAATAATAAAGAATTTAAATTTTAAAATAGGTATATTTAATGATAATAGTTATTTATTATTTAAAAAAAAAAAATGGTGTAGGGCCCATCTCCAGCGTGGGGGAGAATGCCACTTCTTAAAGCACAATGCAACACACCATTACTTCATTTCATATTCTTCACAATTTCCAATCACTTCCTCTTAACAAACTTTATGTCAACTCAAATTATTCAATTTTTTTTCTTTTTTTTTTCCTTTTTATTACTTTCCCTTTAATTTTCCTATTCCTATTTCCTAACTTTGCTTCCACATTATTACAACAACAAAAATGCAAAAATAAATAAATAATATATAAAACTGTTACAAGATGGATACAATCACATCTTAATAACAGTGTGATATCCCACATTGGTTAGAAAGGAGAACAAAACACTATTTATAAAGGTGTAGAAATCTTTCTCAGTAGTAGATGAGTTTTAAAGCCTTGAGGGGAATATCTACTAGCGGTGAATTTGGACTCTTACAAAGAGTGATCATAATTACTGTATTTGTCGACAAAACATAGTATACGTAGGTGGGGAGTGAATTGTGAATTACCCAAAACAGTAATTTCAAATTATTAACTTGCACGACAACTCTTTATAATTTCGATTATTACAACTATTTCTTACCAAGTCCTAATTTCAATTTCATTCATAAAAATTAATATGCATATTTTATTACTTGAAAGCAAATGATAGAAATTTTCTTCTCTTTACGCTTAATTCACATATTATATTATATTATATTAATTAATCCTAATAATTTGAAAAGGAATGATAATGTTAAAGACAATGGGGAAAATAAAATATATAAATTATTTTTTTTTGCCAATCATATTATTTTTGTTTTGAAATCTTATTAAATTTGCATTCTATATACATATTTTAATACATTGAAATGTCCATGCAAATGATAAGTCCTGTCCCAGTGTCCCCGCTCCTCCAAGATCACGTCTTTGTATAATATTTCTGTTGATCAATAATGGCATGCAATCAGCAAACCCATTAAGCCCTTTGTTGGGAAGAAACGGTTTGTGAAGATGATTGGGGAGTTGAACAAGATAAGGGTGGTTTGGTTTAATTTCAATGGGTTGGGGTTCTGGCTTCCCAATTCCCGGTATGCCCGATTGGTTATAACATATACTCTATAAATTGGGCGACGGAGATTGTTCTGCTGCAACAAACGCGGCCTCTTATAACCTTCATCTCCCTCCTTCTCAACCCCGATTGTTTCCCCTAGCTTTCTGCAGCAAGAAAATCAGAAGGACCCTTCGCGGGTCTTTTTGATTTCCTTGCTTCTTTTTTCTTCTTCTTCTTCTTCCTCGCAGTTTTCACCATCAGGTAACTTCGATTCGTTGTTCGATCGTGTTCGGATAAATGAACATTTTATACGCATGTTTTTGTTTTGGGTTTCTTTGTTACGATCATGATTTTGATTGATTGTTTGTTTGTCTCGATACTTTGATCTCTCTTGTAGTCGAGAACAAATTATACTGCATCATAGCGATTCTACGATCATGCCTGTGATTCGTTTGTTTGCCATTTTCATCTTGCTATGAAAATGAAATCATTCAACAGTTTAGGCACGATCTGTTCATGGTTGTGATTGTTTCTTTGCATCGTTTTGTTGCTCTTTCTCGTAATTAAGATTAAAATCATTTAACACTCCAGGCATGATAGATCATCATTGGGATTGTTTGTTTGGGTTGTTTTTAGCTCTCTCTTGTTGTTAATCAGCGTTTGTTGGAAATCAAAATGCTTAAACATTCTTCAATCTTCAATCCAGCAATCATTATATTCTGTGTCTGAGAAACTTTCATCTGGTGCAGGGTTCTGTTCAACAATTGTTTTCGTTGAATGGCGGGGGAGAACACCGATATACCTCTTGTTGTCGAGGTAAGCGGGGACGAAGGTAGACAACATGAGAGCTTTGATATCCCTACCAATATGGAGGTAAATGAGCCTAATGCTATCATTGAGGGAAGCACTGATATATCTCTTGCTTTGGAGGCAAGTGCAGATGAAGGTAGCCAAGATGAGAAATTCGACATCCCTACCACTATGGAGGTAAATGAGCCTGAAAGTTGCAATGTAGGAGTTATTGTGAACATTAATACCCCAAAGTTCAGAAGGATTTTCCCTCGCTATCTCTCACCGCGCACAGGCTCCTGCCATGATTTTTGCAAATATGGTACGAAACATCCTATTGAAAGGAATCCTGCAAGTGCAGTCTTGAGAAAAGGTAAATCAGTTGGACGTGATGTTCGGGATTTGAGGCGGATTAGAGTTACGTTGGCAAAACCGAACAATGATACAGTTAGTCCAAAGTTCTCCAAAGATTATGATGGCATCAATATTACTGACTTGAAGGAAGATGTAACATCTTCCCCAGAGATTATTAATCCATCTCCAAAAAAGCGTTTGCCTCCCATCAAGGAAGTGGAGGCTGCGGCGGTGCAATACAGTCGGACAAAACTTAATTTGTCGCTATCAAAGGCGTCGTCTTCTGCAGGACAATGTACTTCACGAACCAATAGAAACAAAGAAGTTCGAAGAAGCAAGAAACAAGATGGATATGGAAGTTCAAGCAGTTCTACAGATAGCACAAGTAGATGCCAAGAGATAAAGATCTCCACAGTGGGAGATAGGAAGGCATTGGTGCCACATGCCGTTTCTTGGACGCCAAGAAATCGTGTGAAGCGAGTTGCTATTGTCGACAAGAAAATCATTGGGAGGCATAGCTTGAAGAACCAAAGTCGTCTTAAAAAAATTAAACCTGATCCATCTAACAGTGAGGTTGTAGAGGAGAAAACTTTATACATGATTGAACCATCTACCAAGAAAGAAACAGAGGGACCAGCTCAAAATAGTGTTCATTTCACTGAGTTGTCTCATCCACAATCTTCATCTGCAACAGACAACAGCTTTAAGCATAAACAAGAGGCAGATGGGACCATTATAACACCACATTTGTTGGTGGAAGAGAACACGAGGCGTACTAGAAATGGAACAAGTTCTAAAAGTTTATCTACATCTCCAACAGTATTCAAGGGATTCAAAGGTCTGAGACCTAAGAGATTTGATATGATTCAAATGTCTGAGACTCGATCAGCTCCTTCATCGCCATCATCTTCTAGATGCTCATCTGAGCCCGTCCATGGCGAGAAGTCCAAGGTGGAACACAAGATTAAGGCCCGAAGGAAGACTCTAACT